CTCTGATTGGGATTCCATTTTGGTCGCACGTTTGTTTCGCGCGTCCTGTGATGTGTCTGCTGTCAATGGCCAAGGGTGTGTGTGTGTGTGGCGCTATCGTTTGGCTGCGCCGCAGGCGCCACCCGGAACTATAATTCTGTTGGTCCGATAGGGGCCGAGGTATGCCTGAGGATGGCAGGGCTTGCTAAAGGAGATAAATGATCTAGGCGAGGCGTTTCTGCATTTTCTTCTGCCACGACCTTGACGCTCGTAATCCTTAAACCTGGGATGCGCAGCGCGTTGCAGCATGCTGTTCAACAGCCAGACCATGGAGCCGATGATGCACAGTGCCAAGCATACGACAAATACAAACAAAACCACACGCCAGGTGGAGTTCAGGTCATTCAATTGCAAGCGAATTTCGGGCGACAAGCTGGCAGCCTCAGTTAACTCGCGTTCGATCTGCTTCCTTAATTTCTGGCAGTCATAGGCTGACATTAGATGCGGCACCTGATAGGCTGGCACCGTTGGCTCGTGCAGCCACCAATCATCCCAGAACTCCAGCTGTTTGTCGACCAACAGCCGATTGCAGTGGGCGAAGACTTCGCTTATCCACTGTTGGCACTCGGCGCTGTTAATGTTTTGCTTGCATATTGGATTCATTGCCGTGTATTTAACGAATATTTATATAAATATTTACATATGTAAAATGGTAACTAGATTAATGGACGCCTACTTGACTAGACTTGATAATCGTCCCGTTTGCCCCGTCTGAGCCAATTTGCCCAGCGTATTTTTCCGCGGCTTTGAGCATACGATTGATTCGTAGTCGCCGTTGGCCCATAAGAAGTTGGCATTTTGCCAATGGCTGCATGGCATTTGCGTGCCTCCTGTTGTATATCCATGGTTATTGAGGTCTGATCCTCAGCAGCTGTGCTCCGCTCGGACAGCTGCTCGCCAGTTGAGCTTGTTGTCTCCTCGGACGACTCGGACATGGCCTCGTCTGAGGTTTTTAATACATCAGTTACTATACTCTCGCTCGATTCAATATCGCTGGATTCATCCGATGCTTCAGCTTCCAGTTCTTTATCAATGTCCAGCTTTGTTTCAGCCTGTGTGTGTTGATCCAAGCTCTTAGATTTCTTACCGAAGCCATTCATCGGAAAAGTATCCCAAAACCTTGTCGGCACATATAGTTCCGCATCCGTCTTGCCGGCCGCAGAGCTGAGCATCTTGGCTGAAGCGCTGCACTTTTCGCGCAGCTGTTGCACAATGTCGTCCACTGAGGCTTGTCCGCCCGACTGGCGATCCTGGCATACTTCAATACGCTTTGGCGGATGTTTGGGCGGCTTTTTGAGCACAAACGCCTTTGCCAGCAGCCAGACGATAATACACATGCAGAAGACCATGAAAAACAATAGCAGCAGCAAGGTCATGGGATTTATGCCGCGGTTGACCCTGAAGAGCGAAGCCTGTAGTTCCCGCTTCAGTCGCTGGCATTCATCGTTTGTCATTAACTTGTAGGCGGTGTTGCCTTGCTTGTGATCGCGATCGAATTTCCAGTCTGGACACCGGCCGCACACCTCGCGCTGCCAATGATTGCAGGCGGCGCTCTCCGGATTTATTTTGCACATCGAGCTCAGACCCCTCATTTTCAGAGATTATGTGTTTTCAATATAATAATATATGCCATAAATGATAAATATTTCAATTCGAAATGTAGCTGGGAATCATGACATATTGAATTTTATTGAATTCCAGCTTGTGGCTGTTCAGATATTAAATTTGTATTTGAGGCATTAAATATTAAATGAATAATGCTCGGCGCAAGGCTGGCAAATCTAGCAACAAGCAACTGCTCATAAATTTTCTTTTTCCGCTTCATGTAGCTAAAAAACTTTACACACACTCACACACACACACACACACAGACATATATATATGTACACATCGTATTCACCAAAAAAACAAAAACTAACCCAATGTTATCTGCGCTAGTTCGTAGGCAAGCCTTCCGATGCCCATTAAAATGTATAGAGTGCTTGGGCATTAAAGAATTGATTTACAAAAGCCAGCAGCTCCAACCTTATAAAGTATATATAGCTAAGATCTTATTTCTTTGAAAGGTAATACAAACTGGAGTTGGAAAATGTTGGTGGAATTCCTCAGCTAACACTGGTTACTAGATTAAAATTGTAGACAATGCCTGAGTAGGTTATTGAGATGAAACTTATTTTTTTTATAAAAATATAAATATTGTTTATTTACAAAACTGAGATTACGATACGAGTTGTGCCAGCAGCAAAGCTACAGGGTATATGATAGTTGTTCACTTACAACTTTTGCTTGCTTGTGCTGCCAGCTTTGTGGTGGCAAGTGGAAAACTACTTCAACTAAATGTGCAACTAAATTCGCGGCAAAGTTAATGGCAACATTCAGGAAGCAAGTATTTTTCCTCATGGCAAAGTCTCGACGCTTCGACGTGTCAAAAACTGACATGAAAAAATGGCATTTGCGCTCTCGCCGAGATCCTAATTTCGGGTAACAAGCTCGTAAATGACACGCAGTCAGCTTTTTTAAGGGACGGACAGCTCACCAGTCGTCTGCTCAACACCGATGATAATAACCTGTAAACGTGACGCGATGACTTGCCAGATAGCATTGAAATATTATCAGGCACCAGACGCCTCGTTGGTACCGGCCACTGCCAGAAGGACGCATCGGAAATTATAATTAGATATGTGGAGCGCTTTGGGCTCAATTAAAAAGCACGTGGCTGGACGAGCAGCGTATATGGCCAAAAATTGGGTTAAAATGCACCGCAGGCCATGGCGGTCGCTTCAAATTGTTTCTCTTTCAATTGCGCCTTGCATTTTTGGCCACCACGGCGGCGGCTGCATCACATTTGGCCCATATTGAAATTTATGCTTCCGACTCGAATTCGCACATCGCACATTTAAGCAACTTTTGGGCGCCCGAACTTTACATTTCGGTGCCAAAATTAAGCGACGTAACTTTTACATCCGCGCCTGCCTGCGGCTGCCGGTCCATCCACAAAATCCGGCAGGAAATTGGTTTATATTATTCCTATAGACTGTCGGTTGGTCGGTCGGTTGGTGGGCGGCTGTCGGCAACATTTGGCAATTTGAAATTAACATGCAATGCGATTTGTTTAGAATTCCAATTAAAAACCATTTTATTGCTCATTTTCGTCGACTGCTGCGCTCAGAATTTAACAATTTCAGTCGAAAAGTTCGTTTTGCGTGAAAGATACTTTCGTGGATTAAGTTGAGATTTAAAATGCTAAAGTATCTTAAGCACGCAATTGAAAAATATAAAGATTTTCTGGATTAAAAGAAGGAGAGTAAATTATATAAGAACAAAGTGGAATAAAACAATGTAGAATTGAAGATGGTGAAATGAATCAATATAGCACGAAACATTTTATAAAATTTATTAAGGCTGAAATGCAATTATTGAAAGAGAGCATATTTTCAGCCGCTCATTTGGGGAACAAAGTAAAATAAGAAATATGAATTAGGCAAATAAATTCACAAACATAAAAATTCGTAAGCAACTCAATTGACAAAACGAACCAATAAAGAGCAAAAGAAACCCCTATTCCAAGAATACAAAAGATGCCCGATATTTAAATTCTTCTACCTATTATGTCAAACAGGTGAAAACAAATTGAATCAACCTTTGTAACTTCGATTATTACCTGCAATTGCTTGCATTCTGCATTTGTGCCTGTTAGTTGTGCGTTGATTGAGCAATTTCCTGTTAACTGTTCAATCGACCGACGGCAGATGCCATCCAGTGGCTATGGTTAGCTGCTAGTTAGCTGCAGTACACCTGCAGTTGATGATAGCTTTTGGCCCAAATCAGATATGGCCAACACCCAATATGCGAGTCTGCCCAAATGTAGCAGCACTCGCTGCCCCGAAGCCATGGTGCCATGGCCCTAATGAAAACGGAAAACACGAGCGCACACCACATGAACTTGGGCAATGCATGTGGTTAGTCCTTTGCCAGAGTCCAGTGCGGGTTTTGCGTCTGTTGTGGAGCACATGTATTTTGAATGCAATGCGACAGAGCTAGGGTAAGAACGAGTGAACGCGAGGAATGAATGAACTGGAGTCATGAATGGGAAGCAACAGCATCTAGTCTCAAAAACCTAAACAAAAATGGGGTGAAATGGGCTCGTTAGTGGTTGTTGCATGTCCAAGTTCCCTTTATATCTGTGTGTCTGTGGGTGTGTGCGCATTTGAATGCCATAAATTGTGCCACAGACTCCACTTTTGCACCCAAAATCCCATGCCTATAATCATAAAATCCTGTGAGTATTTTATGCATGAGTGCATTACAAAATTTCAGCTACCAGGCCCAAACCCAAACAGTTGGCCAAAAGTATGCCTCCATACCATGGAATGCCATTGTTATTCGCTGTAAATACAGTTCCCATTTGCAAAATTTCAAATTACAGCTGGTTTTGTGCATAGTAAAAGCTTTCATAATCAGCTCATTTGACTTCGTTAAAATTTTGATTTTAGTTTTAATTTTAAGTTGTTCTAGAAATCTTTTTAGCGAGTTAGTTATTGATTTAATAAATATTGTAGGTAACGAGCGACAAGGTAAAATCAGCAAAAGATAACATTTTCTATATAGCTTCCGTCTTATCCCTCTTTCGTAGTTAGAACTAGTTGAGAATTGTAAGCGTCAAGCAAAAAAAGAAGTATCTGCGTGTTCTTCCTAGGGGACATCAACTCTGTTAGTGAAAAAGGTTTCCCCCTTTATTGACTTTTGTTAAAGGAATTTCAAGTTCTGACACAAATTAGATATAACTTATTTAATTTCTTCAGATAAGATTAGATGGCACAGGGGATAGCCTCCTAGACATTCATACTCAACCTTTGCTGGTTGATGCTGTGCTTAATACCGTGGAAGCTAGTCAGCCTGAATACGCTCAAGTTTTTGTATGCTATTTTTAGCACACTTTCTTAATAATTGAAACACATAAATACTTTTCTTTAGAGAAGTGCTTGACTTAACAGCACAACAGCCAAGTAGTACTATAGCATATTTCATTTAAAATATGTTGTGATGGCATAGAGGAAATTCAGCAGAAAGGATAATCAGAGCTGTAAAAGTTCTCTTTACTGTTGATATCTAGTGCAATCCCCGTAGAAGTGAGTTCTTTATCCGATTCACCCCTAAGCGATGTACTGTTAATGCCAACACATTTTCGCATATTTCTCCAGCTTGGCAAATTTACGCATCCTTCTGATGGCAAAGCGGTGGAGCGGTGGAGCGGTTGAGCGGGGGGTCTGGCTAAGACATGTTTTAGCATCCACGCCCAGTTGCGCCATCTTCTTTGGCGCCACGGCACTTTGCGAGCTCGGGCAAATCCATTTGAAGCGAGGGATTTTCATCTTTCAGGTTGCGCTTGATGTGGTTCTAGCTTCACGGCGCACCGAGTCGAAGCGTTGCCAGACCGTTTCCTACTGCAGCGTGTTTACGTGGCAGGACTTATCGGAGTTGTCTGGACTTATGTGGAAGGCAAAATGTGCTGATTACAATGGCCATGTCCAGGTCCTGTCCAAGCCCTGTGCAGGCCGTGTCCACGCTCGGCCTTTGCTCGACTTAGCAGATTAAGAGCGTCGCTTATTCAGCCTTAATTTATGGCGACAAATAGAAAACGAGATACACGGAATGCGGAATACGGAATGCCGAATAGAAGATTCAAAGGAGCACAGCTGCATTTAAATTGAGAACGTCTCGAACTTAACATTTGGCAACTGATGGGCATCATTTAATTTAATAGAAACTTTCACAGGCCGCAAGCACCGCAAACGTATTGACTTGACTTCTCTCTTTCTCTCTCTATTTTGTCTGTTGAATTTTCATAGATATATTGCCGGTGTCAATACACAGCTGTTTGTATTTCCAGGGCGCGACATTTTCACGCTGCACAAAAAAGAATAGGGAAATTTAATGAAATTTCAAATTGCCATTCGCTTCTATCTCAAGCTGTCAAGCTTCTGTCTGCGTGTCTGTCTCGTGTGTGTAAGTGTGTGTGTGTGTATGCTTGCGTGTCCTGGCCTGTCTGCTCAATGTCCTTTGTGCTCCAGTGACAGCTGCTCATTTCACGCTTAGTAATTTCAATGAATTTTTGCTTGCGCTATTCGAGCCACATCTCCATCTTATTTGTACGGCGCTGCATTAATTAAATTTTCGTATTTAATTTTGTTTATATACATAAATGCATAGTTTATGCAGATGCGCCCTTAGACAAAAATGTCGGCCAATGTTTATAAATAGATTGCATAATAAACACCCTCCCTCCCTTCCCCCTCTCAAGCATAACTATCGCAAGAATTTTATTATATTTTCGTTAATAATAATTAGCTAAGATTAGGCTGGCTGTTCTGAAATTCTTTAAATAAAAATTAAATAAATAATATTTATGTACGTCTCGTATTTGCCTAGAAATCTTCTCATATTTGCTTGAAATCAATAATATTTTTTTAGGAAAATTTCCATTTTATAGCGATTTTGTTATACCGTGAACCCATTAAAAATGGATATAAGGGTATATTGTATTTGTGCGAAATCCAAATGTATGTAACAGGCAGAAAGAAGCATCTCCGACCCCATAAACTATATTCTTGATCAGCACCAATAGCCGAGTCGATCTAGCCATGTCCGTCTGTCCGTCTGTCCGTATGTATGAACGCAAGGCTCTCAGAACCTGAAAGAGCTAGAGACTTGACATTTTAGATGAAGGTGCTCCTAGTGTCTGCGCAGATCGAGTTTGCTTCCGATAATCGATAACTTACTCCGTTTAAAAGCAATCGATACTATTCGATATCAATAACCTGTTTTTGGGCAATTTTGGTAAATAATAAGAAATAGAGTCACCAAACTTGACATATATGTAGCTTCTAAAATGGAATATATATATGCATTTGATGTGGGAAGACGACGGTTCAGGGTATCCCCTAGTCGGGAGCTCCCGACTGAACCTCTTACTTATTTAAATTTAAGTAAATTAATTAATTGCGAATTTCAAGCGTCATAAATGGTTAATGTATTTATTTATATCTGTCTTTGGTTTGACTAACAATGAGCTTAGGACTATTATTTTAATCTAGTTGAAATAACGTTCCTAAGCTTATTGTTTGTTCAATCTCAATGCATATATTTAATAGATAATTTTAGCATATAACTTCCATTGCCCTTTACAACTACTTCTTTTTTTTATGTGTCCTCAATAACTTACTATATCGAGCGGATTGATAACGCCTTCTTTTAAGCATCGATTTGCGCCATGCGCGCCAATAGTTTTGAATTTTGCGTGCGGCTCGATTCATCCTGTACAACATGATTGCCTGCTGTCTTTTGCGTTCATCTTCTTGTTCGCGTTTTATGACAATATTATTGTAAACTTTTTCCTCTTCTTTGTAGGTCAGGATAAATGCATCCAACAACTTTTTTTTCTCCACCAATTCATTCTCCAAATCCAAATGCTCAATCATTTTTTCGCCGATTACGCGATCGTATTTTTTTATTGCGGCCTCTAACTGGATTTGCAGTTTGTTTCTGTTAATTTGGGATATATTTGTTAAGAGTTCTACTGATATCGTCATTTTCAACTTACCTTTCTGCACGTGCCGATTTCTCCACCAGCATATTACTTTTGGTTTGATTCTCGTATTCCACACGCAGTTTTTCCAGCTCTATCTCCAGTAGTTTTTGTTTTTCCAAGCTGTTCTTCTGATTCTCATGGATTTGGCGCTGGCAAGCTTCACTGCGATTTATTAGCGCTTATTTAAAACTGACTCATATCAAACACACATGCACACGTACCTTTCGTTTTGCATGCGCAACACATTCTTCATTTTCCTCTCTTCCAGCTTCAGTTCGCATTTTTGCAGATAGGCGCCTTTCGCTGCCATTTTCCAGCGCAGCTTCAATTTTTGGCTTTCAAAATAGGCCTTTAGGTGCTTTATGGTATCTTTGATGTGCTCATTTTCTTGGTATATCTTGTGCAGCGCATGCTCGTTGCTGATCTCCTTCTTTGCGCTGCGTTGCAAGTGGTGCTTGGAGATGCCGAAGAGCTGCTCAAAGGCGATCAGCAGCCTGCGATCCTCTGGTGTCATGTGATAGTCGGGAAACAGTGTGCATATATCCGGATGGCACTGAAAGTAGTCAATCAGCTTGATCATGCCATGATCCATTAACGGATGTCGTTGCTCCTTCACAATAATGTCACGCCGGCGTATGTAGTCCTCCACCAGCCGTATGGCTGGCTGGTATTCGGTGCCGTGCAAGACCTTGGCCACACTGCTCGGTTTCCTGAGCAGTTTTGGCAATAGTAGCGCACTCTTCACACAATCTACCGAGTCCTGCAGCACACGTATGACACAGTGTATTTGCGTAGAGCGCGCGGTAGATAAATCTTTCGATCAGTTCAGATTTAAGTTGGAAATCAATATTCTATGCTTGTCTAGAGAGATTGTGTTACCCACCAGCGCCGCCATCTCTTGCCATGCTTGGATGCTTCTCATGCCATTTGCTTGGCAGCACATGGTCCACTTTTCCCGACGATGATGCCCTTAACAAATTCATTTTTCGAAAAAATATAATAACTATTCTGTGCTATAAAAAGTATGTGTGTCTGTCTGTGTCTTAAAAACAGATCTGTGTTAAGGCATAGCCTGTGCTTGCTAGGAACATTATTTATTTGGAGAGAAAAACTTAGGAACTATGTCGTTAAGTAAAAAAGTTCTGTTTCTTGAACTGGGAAGCTACTTATATTTCTAGAAAGGTTTAGTTAAAGGAATGTTAATGCTTATTTAATGAGAATTCTTATTAGTATTTAATGATTAATCTTAGCGTGTTTTTCTTCATCCCTAATTTAAGAATATTTAAGAGGCAAACTTAGGAACTCTGTGGAAAATCTAATACGTAGCTTAAAACTCGATTTCCATTAAAATATACGACTATATATATATAATTTGCTTGCTTTGATGAATTTATTTTTTATCTTGCTAGGCATATAATTTTTGTTAGATTTTGCTGACAAAGTTGCCATTGATGAAAGGCGGGCCATTATTTACGTCCGCCACGTTTTTTTTTCTTCTGCAGATGCTTGCGCCATGCGCGCCAATATCTTTGAATTTTGCAAGCGGCTCGGTGCATCATATAATGTAGAATGGCCTGTTGCTTTTTGCGTTCTTCTTCTTTTTCGCGCTTAACCACAATCTCTTTGTAAATGGCCTGTTCTTTGCGATAGGTTACCATATATTCATTGAGCTTTTGCTTGGCCTCATTCATTAGATCCGTCAGCTCCAGATTCTCGACCAATTTCTCACCGATCACCGTATCATATTTCCGTATAATGCCCTGCAGCTGTATTTGCAATTTATTTCTGTGTGGAACTTTTGTTTGTTAATATATAAAATTGTATATATAAAATTTTATAATAATTCGTACATACTTTTCATCACGACCATCCTTTTCCATTTTTTTGTGATCTCTGTCTAATTTTTCACTTTCGAACCTGACCTTTTCCAACTCTTCAGCCAGTTCAAATTGTTTGTCCAGGCTGTTCTTGACATTAGCTAGCACAGCGCGCCGATAAAGCTCTCTGGAGAAAATGTTGATTAATATTCTAAAAGTATTATATATATATTTTTTTTTTAACCCGTCTGACTTACGTTTCCCGTTCAATTTTCTCTTCGTGCAGTTCTTTTTTCACTCTCAACTCTTCAGCGATTTTGGCCATATGTGACGCCTTGGCGACTGCCTTCCAGCGCTGCTCGATCCTGTGTGAGGCGATTTTCTCTTCAATTTGTTTTATGTTCTCCTTGAGTTTCTCCTTTTCTGCGTATACGTTCTGCAAATAACGTTCCTGTTGTATCTGCGCCTTCGCGTCGCGCTTCAAATGAGCCGTGGCCATGTCGATCAGCTTCTGGAAGGCGAAGAGAAGCTTCCGCTCATTATCGGACATGGAGTTAATTAATCCGGGAAACAAGGTATAAATCGTTTGGTGACGTTGGAAGTAGTCAATGATCTTGATCATGCCATGATCCATTAGTGGCGATCGGTGTTCCTTCAATATAATATCACGCCTGCGCATAAAGGCATTTATCAGTGGTATGGCCCCCTCAAATTGTGTGCCGGTCACAGCCTTAGCCAACATTCGACGGTCCTCTATAAGTTTTGGCAATATCAATGAGATCTTAACGCGCTCGTAGGCATCATTCATGGCTCTCAGCACATTTTCTATGATCGTGCTGCGCAGCGAGGAGAAATCTAGGTTGATCTGTGTTAGCTATTGATCTATCCAATACAGTATTTGATTTCTTTTGTACCCACCTAGCTGAGCCATTTGTATGGCTTCGCGCTGTGCCGCATGTTCGGCTTCCTTGTTGGTATTCGGCATTTTGAAAATTAAAAATCATAAAACTTAAAAGGATCCTTTAGCTTGTATCTGTCTGTAATTTGTAATGTGTATGTTAATACTAAACAAATAAACGTATCAAATCTAAATTTTTCATAAGGTTACTCGGTTCTTTTACTAAAAAAAGAGAAGACAAACAGCAGCTCTCTGGCTCAAATTCAGCTGCAGCTAAAAATATTTGTGAATGTTTTTTAATTTGTTATTATTTGCAATGGTAAATAATAAAAGTTGTCATACTGAACACCAAGTTGAACAAAATATGTCATAAGTTGCATCTCTAGCATTTTTCATCCGAACCGGGCGACGCCAGGCTATCGATACTCGTTTTAGGTAGTCACCTCCTTGAATATATATTTTAAGGTACATAGTTTTGTTGTTAATTGTCATTTATTTACTTCAATTAGATTTGATCAATTTACTATAAAAAACACAATTTTTTTTTTTAATTTCTATTTTGATTTGCGATCTATCTTTTCGATTATTAGTAAATTATGTTGTGATGAGGCTTTGTGTGTATTGGCACTGGTACATACATATGTTTGTCGTTAATTGTCATTTATTTTCTTCAATTAGACTTTATCAATTTAGTCTAAATAGCTAAATAATTATAATAATTTTCTTGTTGCCCTTTTTCCAGTCCCCTTTTTTCCTTTTCTCGCTTCTTCATGCATTCGTTGGGGTTCTTATGCCCCTAGCTTAGTCGATGCGGTGATATATGTTGTTGTGCGCTTCCATGTAGCCATATTCCATTACAAATGCTGACAATGACGGATTAGTTTAGTCTGATGACATTCATTTAGTCAGTTCATGAAATTTGTTCATATGCTGCGGTCGGGCGTTCCCTGTGGACTAATAACTTTGTGCCCCATCACAGAATGTTGCCCATTCGAGTCCAAAACATAATAGAGTCATTTTCTATGTGACTCGACGAGACAATTGGCTGTCTATCTGCCTGCCTGCCTGCTTGCCTGGTGCTGACCATATGGCGCTGCATTTGCACTCATCTGAGGAAGGGAAAATCACATAAATTACTTTATGATGGGATCCCATGATTCTGGCAGCGGGTGAGCATAAAAAAAAGAAAAATGAAGTAAGGAAGAAACTTTTGGAATCGCACATGTGGTCACGGAGTGAAAAAGTTAGAAGCTGCCACTGCCGTACAATGCATTATGAGGAAGCAACAAAAGTCATTCCGAAGTTATTACATCCCCATGCAGAACCCACTCCGTACCTCCCCCCGTGCAGGCCCTCTCATTTGTCCATTGTCTTTTGTGAGTTGCCATTTGCTTGTCGCTTCAAAAAGTGAAAAGCGAAAAAAAGGAGGCGAGAAAACAAAAGTTTTCAGTTTTTCGACTGCCAACTTTTAGCAACTTTCAGTGACAAACTTATTTTTTTCTGACCTCCACACTCTCCTGGACATTTTTGACCATTGCGTATATTTCTTTATAATGTTCTTGTACCCTATGCGCGTGGCATACAAATGGGTAGTATGCACAGCTGCATTCGGCTTCAATCTGCAGGCTTGCATATACAAAGCATCCTACAGGGCAACCCATAGTCGAGTCCACTGCAGTCGGGCATTCTTCTTTGTTTTCCTAAAGTTTGGCATTCTGTGAAATTGTCCAAAATGCAATTGCATATAAATCTAAAAGTTTGCAGTTACTTTTCTCCAAATGTTATGCAAACTTGTAGGCGTAAGCTGCGTTTCAAGCACGAAACGGCAAACTACTTTAATCTTGCAAAATAAGCTCAATGAGATTAAAAATAATAAAAGAGTTTGCCCTAACTGACTGGTTTTCAATGCACAGCCTAAACAAGCGACAGGTCGCTGGTTCTAATTTGGCTGAAATTTTACATAATTTCTATATGTTGTCCGGTTATCTTGTAGCATAGCAAAAAAAAAAATAGTATTTGTTGTATCATTTTTCTAATCAATAACTCTAAGATTTGTTAAGCATACACGACTTTTTTTCAATCTTTAATAGTCAACTGCAAAATTTTCCGTTAGAGCACACCGTGACCCACGCTACCAGGAAATGACAGATAAACAGAGATTAGCCAATGAAGATGATGATGGCTTGGAAGTACCCAAACGCAGAGAGGGAAGGAAACATATTCAAACAAGTAATTGTTTCATAGCTTAGAACCTATATGCTCCCATACTAAGGATTATTCGTCTTCGATTGCCCTGTAGGTGAGAGCCATAAAAACACGACGTCTGAAATAGTAGCAATAGCTGTTTCGTGGCTTCTTGTATTGGTCACCTTTCCCATCTCCTTGTTCTTCTGTTTCGCTACGATCGCGGAATTTCATCGGGCGATATTCTTCCGTCTAGGACGTGTCAGGTAATACCTGATGGACAGATTGATTTATTCTATCGCAAGACCATTGCCTTTCATATAGACGAGGCGCTCGTGGGCCGGGTCTGATCTGGTATTTGCCGTGCATCGACTCCTACTCTCTAGTGGATCTGCGCACTAGAGTGGAGGTGATTCCAACCCAGGAGATGATCACTAAAGACTCTGTGACGATCAGCGTCGATGCAGTCCTGTTCTATTACATCACAGGCTCATTGCATGCGACAATCCAAATTTCGAATTTGCACGAATCAACTCTTTTTATAGCTCAGACAACGCTACGTAACGCTGTGGGTTCCAAAACACTTCATGACCTTTTGATATCCAGGGAAGCTCTATCTGAGGAAATTGGGCTAGCAGTAGACCGCGCAACCGAGAAGTGGGGTGTGAGGATCGAAAGAGTCGCAATGTAAGATTCAAAATTTCTTAGCTTGAAGTGGAGTTCCTTATATATGGTACTTTTACAGTAAGGATATAAACCTACCAGAAAGTCTTCAGCGAACTATGGCTAGCGAAGCGGAGGCAATGCGGGAAGCTCGTGCCAAAATCATATCTGCGGAGGGAGAGCTCTTGGCCTCGAAAGCTTTGAAGGAGGCATCTGATGTGATGGCTCAAAATAAAATTACCTTACAGGCACGTATTATCCTAAAATCTATAAATATTCATTTAATTTCACTTTTAATTTCAAATTCATGTCGCTTCGAATTATATAGTTGCGACATTTGCAGATCCTTACATCGATTGCTCATGAGCGCTTTGTTAAGATAATATATCCTTTCCCTATGGAGATATTGTCACCATTTGAGGGCCGTAAAAAGGGTGGTGAGGCTGGTTTCGAACCCTTTTTAGAATTGTGTGGTATTAAAACGGTAAAGGGCTCTGAAGAACAGAGTCAACCTCAGCTTGAAGACCATTGTTAGGAATTGGACACTTATGCTATAGTAAGTATTAATCGAGGATGGAAACACGAATACCTTTTTATTGGTATTTAATATAAATGAAGCTGAATACAATTCAAAAAAAAAGATTTATAGTTGAAAATATTGGTTTGTGTGGTGAAACTTAAAAATATTTTGTACAAGTTTTGCTTTTTTGAATCAAGAACTCTAAGAATTGTTAAGCATTTAAAAGTCTAGTAAATATGTGCTTGCAAATTCACATAAACTACAAAATTTGTCGTTATGGATGTTCAACCGAATTCACGTGACCAGACAAATGCAGAGAGGAAAAGCGCTGAAAATGTTAAAAATGGCAACGGAGAGAGATCACCCAATAATAATGAGTCCAAGAAACTAAACAGCCGCAGAGAAGGAAGGTCATATATCAAAACAAGTAATTGTAACATAGCTTCGCGTCTATTGGCTCTTATACTAAGAGCCGTTTTGTCTTCGATTCTCTTGTAGGTGAGAGCCATAAAAACACGACGTCTGAAGTAGTAGCAATAGCTGTTTCATGGTTCCTTGTATTGATCACCTTTCCCATCTCCATGCTCTTCTGTTTCATTACGATCGCGGAATTTCATCGGGCGATATTCTTTCGCCTGGGGCGTGTTAGGTAATACTTGATGGACAGATTACATTTATTCTTTTACACGAACATTTCCTTTCATTTAGACGAGGCGCACGTGGGCCGGGTCTGGTCTGGTATTTGCCGTGCATCGACTCCTACACTCTAGTGGATCTGCGCACTAGAGTGGAGGTGATTCCAACCCAGGAGATGATCACTAAAGACTCTGTGACGATCAGCGTCGATGCAGTCCTGTTCTATTACATCACAGGCTCATTGCATGCGACAATCCAAATTTCGAATTTGCACGAATCAACTCTTTTTATAGCTCAGACAACGCTACGTAACGCTGTGGGTTCCAAAACACTTCATGACCTTCTGATTTCCAGGGAAGCTCTGTCTGCGGAAATTGGGCTAGCTGTAGACCGCACAACCGAGAAGTGGGGTGTGAGGATTGAAAGGGTCGCAATGTAAGGTTCGCATCTAATTGGCTTTAAGCAGGCATCTTATACTTATTTTCAGTAAGGACATAAACCTTCCAGAAAGTCTACAGAGGTCGATGGCTAGCGAAGCGGAGGCAATGAGGGAAGCTCGTGCCAAAATCATATCTGCGGAGGGAGAGCTCTTGGCATCAAGGGCTTTGAAGGAGGCATCTGATGTGATGGCTCAAAATAAAATTACCTTGCAGGTAAATACGATGAAAATAGGGCATGAGTATAAATGAAATATATATTGCATTTTCAGTTGCGGCACTTGCAGATCTTAACATCGATTTCTCATGAACGTCACCTTAAAATATACTATCCCATGCCAATCGAGATGTTGTCAGCGTTTACAGAAATCGGCGGTGGTCAGCGTAAGATACCTGGAAACCCAGATGACGATGACTTGCAAAGAGATTCTTTAAAATCACTTTTCACTGCCATGTTTGAGCCATTCGTTAAAAATCCCGGCGAACCCGTGACGTCCGACGGTGAATCCTATATGGGCCTGGATAAAGTAAATGAAACCATTTACAAAGACTTTATGAGTATGCACACTGGTCTTCCAGATGCCACAAAAGAGAAACCGAATCTGAGTCAACAGAAACAAAATCTGTCTGAATCGCAAACTAATTTAACCGATTCCAATTCAAATTACCGT